AAGAGAGTCTGATGAGCCAAGGGCCAATTCCGTAGGTGTAACAAAGCTGCCTAGAAGAGGACTTGTGAAAATAAAGTGTTCAAACTGCCATTTAGAAGGTCATACTTTTAGAAAATGCCCATTGATCATTCCAGTGAATGAGCTGCCCGGTTCATGCTGTGGTAGGCCACCATCATCTAACTCCAATAAATGCAGCTTCTGCAAGGAGAAAGGCCATAACAAGAGGACTTGTCCACAACTAAGTAAGACAACTAAGAGGCCTGAAGTGAATGAAGACCACGGATCAACTACTACAGCTGGTACTGAAGATTGCTTGTTGAATTAATTTTTTTTATGATTAATTCAAAACTAACATAAATTGATACTTTTTTGTTTAACAGATGTAAATCAGGCCTTCAATGATGGGGAAAGTGGAAGAGACCAACAAAAAGCTGCTACCATATCTTCATCAAATAATGGTTTGCTGTGTTTCTATGTTTTTCTAAATTTTTTCGACTAGAGTTCTTTTAATGGCTGTATGTTCTTTTGCTGAATTAATTGTAAGCTTTTCTAGTCCCAGGTGGAATTGCAGAAGCTGGTACTGAAGATGCTGAAGTGATAGAGTTCTAGCTTTCGGCTCCCCAAGCTATTTCTACTGATTTGCCGGAAAAGGTGATGAAGTGTTCAGTTTGCAAGAAAACTGGACATAATAGGCAAACTTGTGATTCCTTTCAAGCTCGATCTTGGAGAAAAAGACGGGCTGCTATGTCAGTTTATGGTCCATTTCCTCCTTCAAAAGGGAAAGTGACCAGGAGAAAACAAACGGTCTGTTTGCGTGTATAATTCTTAATCAAAATTGGAAATTCGTTGTATACTCTATTCCCTAACGCATGTATGTGATTTATGCAGGCACATAGGGTGTTAGACGAAGATGATGATGAAGCTGACATAGTAATACTGGAGGGATGATTAATAAATGTGAACCCCCCTGACTACTTAATTTTTTGTTGCACATGTTTAGGGCATGAAGTCTCCTTAATATAGATCTTACAATTGTAATTATAGCATACTGATCTTGTGGGGGAAAGAGAACAGAAAATATCATTGTGATTGTTTTGTTTTGTAAAAGTCTGCCAATGTTACCTTGCCATGTATCTCATTGCCTAGACATGAGCTTGGCATTGATCTCTTTTGGACAATTGGCATTCACTGGTTATATGAAATTCCTAATATCTTTTGTTGGTTGCATATTCATCAAGTGTTACATGGGTTGGTTGTGTTTAGAGATTGTCAAATTTTAAGGCGAAATCTTGCCAAATTTTTTAAGACACCATTAGCTACCTGAATGGCTATCCTTACCATCCAGAATGAAATTAAAATTGCAGAATTAGCATGTCTATCCTTACCTAACTCTGGATGGTATAGATATTTATGAGTGATACATGTCTATCGTTACCTAACTCAGCAACATGATACACCTATCAAAACAATTATGAGTGAAATATTTGTGGCAAAGCAACCAAAGAATGAAGGAGAACCGAGGAATGCTATCTTTATCCCACACAAATTTGCATGATTCAACCTTAGCTCCAATAGGTCTCAAAGCCGATGTGAAATGTTCTGCACGAACCAACTAGCCATTTATTTTGATCAGCCTTATCTAGAGTGGGAACAAACAGATTTGGAGTGAGGTTCTGCAATTCCCTCACTAGCCTACATCAGATAAGGACACTTGAGAAAGCGAATAAAACTACGGATCAACTACAGGTTCCAACAAAATTTGCTAATTCTGCATTTCATCAACAGAAGACAGCTTCCAACAAAATAGATTACGATGGGCTAAATCTAATTTTTAATCTCGTTCAGGAAGGCCTATCAACATGTCCATATACAAAATTTGCCCAAAATTCGATATATATATTAGACAAATGTTCATCAAATGCTTACACAGCCTTACAACCAAATCATAGTCAGACAAAATTAAGGCCAACCATAGCCACCTTATAACTTCGTGAACAAAAGGCTAATAACAACTACATACGTTTCTCTAATTCATCTAAACTAACATTTGGAGTCCCAAATCTTTTTTATCATGTCCTCTTTTCTCGTTGCCAACAAGTACAGCAATTAACAAGCAACCACAACAAATAGCAACAAAAACTAGCAACTTGCTCTTATCTCTTAACTTTCAAATTTCAGCCTTCATCATCTTCTTTTCTTCTTTCAACCTTGCAAGTTCAATCTTCATGAACCGGTTCTCTTGTTCAGCTTTCCTGAGTTCCTTCAAAAGTTTTGCCATTGTATTTTTTGTCATCTCCAGCATTAGTGGATCATACCACAAAAAGTACTTGCAAGTCTTCGGTGACTATAATCAATATCAATACCTCAATTAGATTACCTATTATTGCAAGTTAATCTAAAGCACAAATTACTACTAAATACCCATATCCGATTATACTGCCAAATTTAAAAAAATTAATTCCCCTGAAATATATTAACAAAATAGAAAAAAATACCCTATAATTCTTGCAGCTGTGGAATCTTCTTCCTGGATTTGACAATGTCCACGAAGTAGCTATTCGACATGGTTCATTACAATCACAAAACACGCTTTCAGATCCATTGTACTCACCTACCTTCTCTCTCTTCACTCCTGATAAGTTTTCACTTTCCTCATCCTTATGATTTGAGTGTTGGAAGCTGCACGAACTTGATGCTCCATTGAAATACTTTTTCCCTTGATGCATCTTACATGTGCTCCTTTGCAGAAACAATTGGGCAACTAAAAATGAGCCCTAATGTCTTCAAACCAGATGCTCACCCCTTTTTGTAATGATATCTAATTCGTTTCAGTGGATAATTGCAGGAGATTAAGCCAGTGTGACAATTATACCCTTTTGGTCCACGCGAATTGAGTAAAATGTAGTAAAAAGTCCTACATTGAAAGCAAAAAACTAGTTCAGGGACTAAATTGGTTAAAATATTTAATGAAGAACGAAATTGATTTAAGTGAAAATGTTTAGGGACCAAATTGGCAAAATTCCCGATAAAAGTACTCCTAAACCACTTTGTTTACTCCAAAAAGAGTTACCACCTGCAAAATAATCTCCAATAGTACCACTATATCACAGAGCTATAGTCCATAAAATTACAAATTTGAAAAATACAACCGATTTACTAGCGCCAATTCAATTATATATGCTTAAAATCGATTTCTTATGAACTTTATTTTTTTTTCCCAACCTCTTCTCAACCCATGGCCCAAGCCTTTAAGTTTTACTGAATCATTATAAAAATTAACTCAAAATAAACAAAGAAATCATACTCCACTCTGCCACAATCAAAAAAAGAAAAAGATAAATAAAATTTGACTCTAATTTATAGATAAAAAATTACAGAGTCATCTAACAAAATGAATAAGAGAGAAAGTTCGAGAAAGGGGAAAGAGAAAAAAGTGGCTTTGTTTCTTTTTCTTTAATTTTTATGAACTCCATTTAATTGATATGCGAATTATGTACCAAGTGAGGGATAATATAGTCATTTTAAAATCACTAGAGGAGGTAAGTAATGTTTTTAAAATTTCAGGGGTCCTAAGTGATATTAGAAAAAAATCTCAAAAGAGGTTTTACAATATTATATGATCAAGATTGGTTCATGTATTATGAAAATTCTACGTTTCGTTTAAAGAACTATACCCTTATATATATATATGCTGGGTCAAAATCAGTACCTCGGGGATTTTTTTTGTCAAGGTAGAGTAAAACTAGAAGTTATACCATTGTATATGCAAAATTTTCTTTCATTGCACAGTGACAGTAGTGGTCTTCTTTTCTTTTTTCTTTTTTTTTTATGGGAGTTCTTTAGAGGACGTAATTAATCAACAACTATAATAGTACTTGCTTTTTGATAACTCGACTAACATGATTCACTTTTTTGTCATTTACCCTGGATACTTACAGCCACAAAGGAGCATTACAACATCCTAATTCAATTGGAATTAGAGACTAGAGCATATAAATCTTTGCTGTCTATATTTGGACAAGACAATATAATCTTAGCTACTCAGTTATGTTATTCACACGGCAGAGAGAGAGAAAAAAAAGAGGAGAAAAAAAAAAGACAACCTTACATTTAACATGTCACTCTACAAGAAAAAAGAGATGAATTGAGTGGTTCGGAGAAGGGAGTATAAGTGAGAAGTTTAGAATTCGAATCCTTCCACTTATAGTAAAAAAGTAAAAGAAATAACATATCCTCCATATATAGTGTCACTCTACTATAGTTATGAACTATTTTATCATGGATTTTCTTAATAAATACACTTAATTTATAAATGACTTATTGTCTCCCTTGCATTTATACTCTTACCCAATATTATTCCTAGTTCAAGAAAAGGGACAATTTAAAAGACTTCTCTTAAGATTCCTGACGATTTCACTAAGCTTCTTTAAAGTTCCAAAATTACATCTACCTGTCTGGTTTGATAGTTTTAGGAACCAAAACTTAAAATAAACTTGACTTGGCCAAAAAATTTTAATGAATAACCTACATTGCCCTTATATAGCGAAGTTCAATATTCTTTCCCAAACAATTGTAGAATAATGCAGCACAATTATAAGGAATGGATGTCAAACTTTTCATACTTATATTTATTGTTTGATAAACAATAATTCGTTCACTACTACAGGTTATTCTTTTTAGTGCTTTACCGGAGACACAGATTTTTCCTGTGGAGAAGAAAGTGCTGCTATAATCTTTTTTTAGTTTGTGGATTTTCGAAGTGATGAAGCTACCACACTTTGGCATGGATTTTCTTTTTGAGTGGTTGTTGGTTATCTTCTCAAAAAAGGTCACTAGCTTGAAAGTCGATTATTACAAAGCCTTCGCCAAGCATTGATAGTTTTATAGTTTTGTTGGCAATATATAAAAGCAAAGAGTAGGAAGGACAAGAAGAATGAAGGAGAAAAAAAAAATCCTAGTAGCCATTCCTAGGCATACCAAACAAACAATGGAGAAGCATTAAAATATAATATTGTCTTTTTCAATGAATAAAGGAGTTAGGTGTAATTTTGAAAACCTCAAAAGGCACTAAGTGAAATTGCCATAAATGTTGGACGTTAACTACTTCTGTAATCTCCTACGAAGTCTTTAACTCTTAATAATGATTGTGGTGATGCTTGTGTTGGTGCTGTACTGCGTTTACGTGCTCAAAAATCTTCTCAAAACGGAATGTTTTTTCCCCACCATATCTTCTTCTTCATCTTTTTCCCTTTTTTTCTAAAGTTTCTTGGCACGACCTTCCACTGCCGTATTGTGCAGGCAACCCCAAGAATTGCTGCAACTTTCTTTTCCTGATCATAATAATCCTAAAGGATCGAATCAACAGTCTTCATGAATGGTCACCTTTCTACACATTTGGATGTGCAAATATGACAAATATAGGTTACAACTCATAGAATTCTCGTCGCTTTCACTGGTTATGAATTATGATATCTCTGCTCTGGAATCTGGTTGCAGCAGCTGTCGGAAGGATCAACCTGATTATGAACCCTGTATGCAGCAGTACATGATTTCGGGTTAGATTGGGTTTCCAACAAGATATTATTCAGGGCAAGTAATTCGATGTCTCTGGAAACCAGGTGCTTAAAGTCTGAATCTGCCCAGAAAGAGGAGGAAAGCAATTACCATTCATGCAGCCACAACTCAGCAAGAACCTTACTATACATGCATTATTAGTTCACAACATACATACATATATATTGTTTTCCCAGTGTTGCAGATCTACAGAGACACTTTCAGAGGTGATAATTACATTAACATCCTCGACTTGTAAAACTTTACAAAATTTTTTATTACATGAACTTGCAGGAATGGATGCTAAACTGTAGTAGTAATAGGTATGTATATATATATATTTTTATATGTCTTTGCAGTAACCTCAAAGTTCATTTTCACCCGGTAGCTAAGTTTTTTCTGTGTGTACCGGTCAAAGCCCAATTAGTAGCATGATATTTGGCAGAATCCTCCTCTGCTTCAACTTTCACATGATGTTCTTCGTGCCCCAGGATTGGTACAATTCTTCAAGTTGCAAGGTGTAGATCCTCCTCTCAGGTAATTCAACAGACAAGAATGGCCAATTAAATTTTCATCAGGAGTGCAAATATGGCCAAGACTACAAAAAGCGCATGGGATGCTTGGTCCGCACTACAGATTCCTGAAGTGAACAAATAGTATCATGTCAAAAAAAAAAAAACAAAGCAAATATAAAGATAAAATAAACTTGGAAAAATCTTTCTGATTTTTTTTCCGTCAAACGGTCAGGCACTTCATCCAAGACATGCAAGATTAGGTGAAAAAAAAAAAAAACCAAGCAGTCCACTGTACAATCCAATCAATAAGAGCATCGTAATATTATGTCTCTCTTTCACAAAACCACATTTATTTAGAAGCATTAAACTAGAACTAAGTTGAGGGGAAGAATGTTAGGTGATAACTTGAAAGAGAAACTTCTAATAGAAACACTCAGTGATGGCACATAACAAGTTGGTTAGAGTTCTCTCCCACCACAGCCACAAATCCCTGCAGTTCCCCACAAAAAAAAAATCCATGTGTCAGCTGACACATCAGTCATCTGGTTTTGTCATGAATAACTTTCTCTTTGTTTTCAAGCACTGTGAGAGCAACTGATCGTTAATTTCAATTTATGCACTCAAACAAGAAGAAAAACTAAACTGATGCACAGAGGAATGGATTTTAGCTCTTGTCAAGTAACTCCAAAGGAAAAAATAATGCTCTTACTGCTTTGCCCAGATGCTGCGGCAGGAAGTGCGGGAATTTTGACAGCTGCAGAAAGAGAAATTTGGAAGGCATCAGAAATGCTTTAAGGAAGAGAATGCATGCCTTCATTTCATACATCTAGTATTCCAGCTAATAAGTTGCAAAAAAATAAAATAATCATAATGTACTCCACATACTCTTATTGCATGATGAAGCTGGTAATTGAGAAGGAGCAGGCCAGGGAGCTGGAATATTGTCATTCAGATCACAGAGGAAGCTCAGACCAGTAGAACTGTCAAATACTGCATCTGATGGCAAGCTAGGCAAAAGGCATCCAGATTCCACACCTAAAAGATGCATTAAGGACACTTGGAAGGATGAAGTAAACACCACAAATGAATATTGTAAAACAACAATAAAAAATTGGTGCCCATGATCAAAAGGTTGTCAAATCTCAAAGATTTGATATTATCCTTCTTTAAATTGATCCTTTTTTTTTTTCCTAAAGAGGAAAAAGCATAATGCTCTATCTCAGAGTTGATGGCTTCTGGGAAGGCAAGGATAGACAACATATCAACTAAAAAATCATTCTTGTACCTCGTGCCTTGATATGTAAAAGAAGCTGAGTTTGGGTAGAAGAGCAGAGAAAAGGACATGATGTTCTTGAAGTTTATTATGCAGATTTCCTCAAATTCATCCACACTAGAGGAGCTAAGAGTAAACAATGAAAGCGATGGAATATTAAAGATGCACACTTGCAGCTTCAAATATGCTTAGACTTGGAAGATTTCCCTGTAAAACCTTGGCATGATATGTCAATGCTTCATTTCTCTAACCAATTGGATAGGGAATCGTTTACTCATTTGAGTTAAGAAATCCTGGAAGATAACATGTCCTTCATGTTACATTCTGACAAATCAAACTTGCACCTACTGATAAACGAACCATTAAATGATTCCTGAATTTGGCCTATTCATAGAATATCACCTTTCCTGGCAGGATATGCAAATCAGAACTCCTTAAGGTTTGAGCCCTAAAAGAGTATGTTGAATGAAGTTTATTTAGTACTGACTATCTTGCAGATCCACCAGCGGGTTGAAATATTATCAACTTCAAGAATGCTAGGCATGTGTAGGAGCCTTCTGGTCCTTCTTCCAATAAGTCCTAAACTAATTTCTTTGTTTATTTTCTAAAAGCTTTTTAGTCCTGACAGATCCCACTAACTCTATCTAAATTCCCGTGCTTTATCTTTCCAACATGTATGCATTCATCCTCTGGCATCAGATGTATGAACAAGGGAATTCTACGTAGAACATGATAGTAAGAAGCTTCTTCTTTTCTTCACAAAAATTTTATAAGAAATGACACAATCAATAGAGTAGGTAGATTACCTTGCGGGGTAACTGGTACACAGTTGTTGAAGATTGCCAGATCATATCATCAGCACAAGCTTATGCATTAGCATCTTCAAAATTTTCTATTTAACAATCTAATATTCAGAGCAGTAAAATAAAGAAAAAATTACCTTGGACTGAGAAGTCTTTGAGACTGACACGACAGAGATTATAAATATTTTTGGTAATATTTGCTTTCTGTAATTTAAGTCCCAGTGATGCAGCACAATTTAAAGCCTGCAAGTTGGTAACAAAACTTTGGTTTTGCAAATGAGACACATAACTCTCCACTGACTTGCAGCAAGCTCTCTGGTCATGCAATTCACTCCCACAGCTCTTTATAACATGGCTCATGTTTGGAAAAACCAGAGGACACACTGAATTAAGAACGTAGTGACATTAGTCAAATACAAGGGGGAAAAGAAAGTTAAGTTGAATGCTGCAAGGAAAACAATTGGAATATTTGATCTACACAAGTAATCACCAAAAGCGAGGGAAATATCAAAACACGTGTCAAATTGATATTTTCATCCCAAAAGTTTATTTAATGAAAACACATGTCAATTTGAATGCTGGAAGGAAAACAATTGGAATATTTGATCTACACAAATAATCACCAAAAGCGAGGGAAATATTAAAACACATGTCAAATTGATATTTTCATCCCAAAAGTTCATTTAATGAAGGAAGTTGAGGAGAAAACAGCACGACATTCCAACCACCACCACTGAAGAGTGCAAACATGAGAGGCAACTATATTTCACCAAAATTTATGTTTCTGTTATCTGCATGTTAGAAAACAATATATCCCCTAAGATCCTTACACATGCCTGAAAACCTAAATAACCCTATCTAATCAAGATCATACAGTCCTACATATTTTAGCGTATCACTACTTAATGAAAAAGAATACCATATCAAAGAATATGACCTTCAAAAACTTCAAATTCACCAGAAGTTTGACATGAGACAACACAGCCAAAAAAGTGCGGATCATGATCAATCATCTGGTTCAGAACATCAAAGAAAGATTAATATATGTGATATCCCTAAATTAGCTACAGGGTAGGGCTAGAAATCCTTTTAGTTATTTATGCTTGACATTTAAAACAGAGATACTCATATGCTTGTATTATACTAAAGAAAAACAGATCCTGTTATTAATAACTGTAAAAATGAGCAAACAGAGCAACTGTGTCACAAAATACATATTGATTTACTAGCAACAGAGTAAAAAATGGAAGTATATTGCAATTTTACATTCACATTTATGTTAAATCACAAAAGAATCTTCATAAATCACTCTTAAGGCCTGGGACAAACTAAATTTCATCATTTTGGTCAGTGGGGGTGTGAGTAGACAGAGAGACAGAAAAAGAGAACAAAGTTAAAGGGACACTGAGTGTACAGTTGGTTAGGGTACTTCTGAACATCATCATGTATTTCAAGGAGCAAGAGATAAATGATATTCAAGATTTTTATTAGGCCAGCCAGCCACAAGACCCAGGAATTGCTTCTTTTTGTACATCCTAATTATCAGTCTTCCCTGATTTTTTTCCCCTAATTAGTACATCCTAAGTATTGTTTTGTTGTTTAACTGGAGGTATACATCCTTATTTGCAGTTTGTTTAAGGAAACAGTGAAGACTTTTCAAACATGAAGGTCAGAAGACAATTAACTATGTCACAGGTTATTTAACTCCAAAAGAATAGTCTGAAACATGGGTAAATTAACTCACCTTTATTAATTTTGCAATTAGATAGCCCTCTAAGAACTTCTTTTGCATGAGAAGGATCAAGTTTACTTGCCAGCCATCGAAGTACTATAGTTCTGCAATCATTTATTCGAGTTGAGTGGTCAGCTAGTGCATGAGAGCCACCGATGCTCATAAGATCATAAGTTTTTACAGCCAGCTTCCCAGCTGCTTCTGCTATAGCATTCTGACAAACTTGCTTGCAACATTCATTAACAGTGTCAATCTTCCCACAGGCTGCAAGAAGACTAGATGAATCCACTGTGCTCTCAAAAGCATTAACATCGCCGACTGGGCAAGAACCTTCAGTAAGGTTTGATGGATGGATGGAGCATATACGGGGCAGACTGTCATTGGCACCCTGACCCACTAGAATTTCCTCAAAATCAGAAAGGCAGGGTTCTGCAAGAGTTCCATTTAAAGCAAGCATATTGGTGTCCTTACTAGATTGACCAACAAGGACAGTAAGAGTCGCATCTACTTGAGGGCAGCATATAACATTAGCTAGATATGGTGCAAAACCACCCACACAATCAATTGATGTCATCCTCATCATGCTTTCCACGGCCGCAAAGTTTAATATGCAGACTCCTGAGAGAGAGAGAGAGATAGCTCAACGATGATATAGAAATTTATAATCCTCTTGATCTAAAATGGCAAAGATTAAAAAAGAGAAAGAGCAGAATCGAACCAGATAGTTTTGGTATACTGCTGTTGGTGAATGGTGAAAATGGAGAAGGTGCCAGGAGAGGAAGAAGGGGCTGAGGAGCTTCACTAGGAGATATTTCAGGCAAGAGGGCATGTTTTCTTTGAGCTATCACAGAACTTTTGATATAACTTGATGAACTGCAATACGATGTAAATAAGCCTGCATAATTAACATGTGTACATGAGAGACAGTGGGAATAAAGATAGTACTCAATTTAACTATAAAATCAATGGCCAAGGCTCATGTCAATTGCAATTGTGTAAAAGAAACAGAAATCATCATATACTATCCCAGTATGTAGCGGCAGAGTAGAAGATATTAGTTCTAGACCATAGGCAGGAAACCATACAATCCAACTTCAAGACGAATTTCAATCAAACAGACAACTAGGTTCACTGTGACTTTTCTTACATTGAAGATTTGAAGTGGAAATGATTGACAAACAAAAGTACTAAATGAAACTGGAATTGATACTCATACAAGGTATTCAGAAAATTAAAATTGGGCCGTAACTGTAACAGTCCTAAGGTTGCGAATTCCTTGTCGGGTAAGTTCCGACCCACATATCTTTTACCACGATTCAACTTCCCAAAGCATAAAGCATGTGAGAATGTAGAGAAACGCACATATATTCTAATCTGCTTAGATCTATTTCATACCAAAACGGAAATTGAGTTTAAATCCAAAGGACCAATAAAGAAAACTTTCGTACTTCTTCATGAATTTCATTATATTCCCTTCTCCTTGACATGTTTCATTGTGAGCTAAAGTTTTATGTTTGTCTGACCCCTTCAAAATTTCTAAATTTAAAGGGAGGCAGACAGCAAGTGTATAATGGTAGTAACCAAAGAAGCTACGACAGGGCTTAAGAGAAGATTATCATCCAAATAAACTAATGCTAACGCTAGGAGAAGACACCTTATAGCTAAATATTAAGGTGGAAGAGCCCAAAGCCGCATACTGGAATCCATAACTATTCAAGGCCCCCATGTGCAGCTAACTTAAACAGACAGTGAAAGGTATCTACAGAAAGTAAAGAACAACAAATACGGCCAAGAAGTCTCAAGCAAGATCATCTTTTATGCGATGTTACTATACAGTTTCCTAAGCCCAGCAATCTTCCAATCCTAACAAAGGAAACATTTTCCCCTTTTTCTTCCCAACATAGACCGTTACTTGCTGAGAAGTACGTATCTCCATCAGAACAAGCATGCATTTCTGCTCTTCCATGTAAAAAAAAAATGACGGCCTTTCCATTTGAGGTGTCATCCTTGCGTGGGCCATGCACTTCTTACTTCAACATCTATTATGAATTTTTACTTTATAAAGATTGCTTGGCAGAATTGTAGCAAGAAAATAAGATGATATTCGTTTGACTTGCCTAGTTGAAGCATGTTACAGACACTGACAACTGCCTTCAAGTTCCCAACTTTAAACCCTAATTTGGACATAACAGCAAAATAACGCCACCCTATCCTACCTCAAAGAGCCCCAGTAATAGACGTAAACCAAGCTAGCAGAGCACACAAGCAAACTCTGAAACCGGGGTTGATCATCAAGAACGGCGGTAATTTAAGTTCATTTTCTTGTCCATCAAATAATGTTAAGGTTACATTAAAATTTCAACAAAGTGGCAGCCAATGCAGCAATTTCACCCACAAGATAACGTTAAAGTAGCAATTTGCAATTTTAGCCTCCACAAGCACTCACAAAACCAACAAAGCAAGCAATTAACCAATTCCAGCTAATTCTTGGGATTAAAGAAAAACTAACGTAAACTCTAATCAAAACCCATTTAATGTTACGAATAGATCATTAAAGATGCATTAAAAACCAGCCAGGAATCAAGAAAATGAGGTAAGAATACTTACAAAGAAGTAGCAAGAACACAGAATGAAGATAAAAATTGTAACTTTGAGGCTCCCCTCCGCTCATTCCTGCCCCTTTTGCTCTCATACCACTTCCAAACTGAGTGAGGCACTAAAAAAGGGGGAAAACAAAATGCAAGAAAAGAAACAAAAGGGCTTCAAAGCAAAAAAGGAGTAGTCTTGGAAAAAAATCCCAGCTCAGAGACTAGCTATAGCTGCAATGTGAACGTGAAGACTGGAAAGAATGGAAAAAAACACAAGTGGGCTGGTGAGGAATGTAAAGAGGAAGAGAGTTAGAGTTGGGGGCAGCCATGAATGAGGTGCTGAGGGGGCGTGGGGACAAAAGCTGTAATTAGCAATAGCTGTCTGAATATTGTGAAGACCCCACCCCAACTGAACTTCTACTGCTACTAATAACTAGAGCAGAGATCATAATGGAGAGAGTGAGAGAGATAGAGAGCCAGTTTTAATTACTATTAATTTCTGGGAAACTCAGACACCAAAGAAGTCCCCATAGGCCATAGCCAACAACACACCGCTGCTGCATTAAATTCCATTTACTGCCTTTTTTTCACGCTTTGTTTTGTCTTGTTTTAGCTTTCTTTCATAACGCGCATGATTGGCACGTGATACTCTTGACGTCTATACTCTATACTTCGCATTCACTCCACAGCTCCACACACTTTCTTAGAGATTTGAGGGTTGACCGTTCGAGTCATTTTGTTTAGCCTCGATCTTGCATGTGATTTCTTCTTTGTTCGTGTAACAAAAAGCTTGGATCACCGCCACGACGAATCAGGGCATGGCCACAAGGATCATAGATCATTTACAAGATTCTTAAAAATCACTAATTAAGACTCACAGTTGTCGTATCGACAGCAGAATTCGAATTCGATAGAATTTGAGTATATAAATTTTTTCGTAAGCAAAGAAACGATTGATTCTTTTGAACTAAATCAACTTATATTCATGATTTTGGTATGGTTAGTATACCAAAGATCATAGTAAATCTTATGTGTCCGTCTGTATGTTTATAAACTTTTCCAATACAGTTTTAAATTTGTCATTTAAATACAGAAACTTACATTCATTAACCTTCAATTTAATTTTTATAAGAAAATAATATGTTAGACCTTGATTAATAAGTACCCGGAACATTCATTCATTGGGCAATTCCCATAGTTATAGTTGCCACAGTTGATCACATAAAAGTGTGATTAAGAAGGAATAAAATGATCCATTATCTTAACTGAGGTTGGAATCTCTCTTTGTCTTTTGATTGTCCTATTAAGGTTGGAATCTCTCTTTGCTCAATTTTTTCGATGCCCAATTAAGGGAACTCGTGATCATGAAGTTTGTACAAAATGGTTCGTACACTAATTCTTCACTTGTCAAAGCAAACCAAAAAAAAAAAAAAAAAAAAGTGTTGCAATATCCCACACAGTTTTATTTATCTAAGAGTTGATATTGAAAATTTTCAACATTTATTGTTAATAGCTTCTAAACTTAGTAAACTTCTTGGCTAACTCTCTAAAATATCAATTCTTTAGCAAAAAAAAAAAAACACAAATCAATTTATTGTACTAAATTGAGAAATATTGTATGGCAAACTAGAGCAAGTTGAAGAATTTCATGGACTACTTCTACTTGTTGATATGTCTATATAATATAGAGAAACTCTAGATCCTAATTTTTTTTTCTTTTTATTAAATTGAAAAAAGTGTCTAAATATTGTGGACGGTATTTGAGACTTGAGAAAGATCAAAGAATGAGAATCCTATGGGTTTGGAGTCTGCAACGTTATCTTGTTCTGGGCTTCATTAGTGTTTGGTGAAACACGACGAACCACCAAAACTCTCTGGGCTTCAACTGAGTGAGTGAAGACATGGGCGATCAACAGAAGGCCCACTGTAGCTGCTACCAGTGCAAGGTGCTCAACTTTGTGATTTGGTTTTAGTTTCAGAAAGAGGTCCTTGTAGAAGCCCAAGCTTTAGCAAAGTGTTCAACTCTATGAATGTTGTGGAATTGTAGTATTTTGCCTTCTTGGAAAGGAGGCCTGTTTAAGTTGGGGTTTCCTGTGGACATGGTTCCCCTTTCAACTCGTCTTGGGAAAAAAAATATTCTTGGTTGTTTGGAGGGATTGATGTTTGATCTTAGAGTATGATACGTCAATGATCAATGGAGCTCCTTGGCAACTCGATTGAGTTAGATTTAGTGGCTTTCAGGCACCATAAGTATACTGACAGCGAAGCATAACTTAGTTAGTAAAACGTTTTATCTGTAACTGACAAGTCACGAATTCAAGTTATCAAGAAGATAAGGGGAGGATCACTGTTGATTCTTTTAAAGAAAAAAAAAAGAGTGTATATTGACACGGGGGATTGTATAACCAAGTTAAAATGGTACCAGCTAGAAGTTGTTCTGTTAGTCATCTCGGCTCAAAGTTCACTTGCACAATTGGATGCTGTGAAATTGAATGCATCAGTGATGGATTTACACAGCCAAAATATTGATCTTGATCCCTCGAAGGGTGGCTCCCGCTAAATATCCACAAAGTCCTTGGCGACATCATTATTGGCCATTATTTATGACAAGGAAGAAGGAAATGGAACCACTGGCTCACAGCGATCGTAAGCCTAATCAAGAGACTTGTGTCTCTTTCTGGTAAAAGTAAGCTGGAAGCTATTCAGCATTTGGGAGTGGGGATGCCTCCGGGCTCCATGCTTCTCTACTCTATAGTTCCCTATTTTTTGTCCACTTGTACCAAGACGGCCGAATCTATCACCTTCCACCAAAAGCATTTTGGTTTTTCCTATTTTCTGGATTTTTGGGACCTGGGATGGATTGGAGCCCTAGCGCTACTCTTAACTTGCATGCAGTAATTTAATTTTGCTTATGCTATTCTTCTGATAATTGAAAATTTGGACGGATTTGGTTGCAATTACTACTGCAAGCGCAAGCAGGGTATGGTTCGGGATCATAAGTCCGAAATTGTTACAGATTGTCGGAGAAACCGATGTTGCTGCGGAGGTTCGACCCAGGACCTGACGGTCCAGAGGAAGAGGCGCCAACCACCAGCCCATTCACGTGGGGGCACGTAGTTTTCATATGAACGGAAGAATTTAAGCACTTTTTATATATTTTTTTTGTTAAAGAAAGTGACCACAGTGAGCTGATTTTGCGTTGGCATTCTACTTTAACGGCTTTCCACTTATATCCTACGTTGATGAGAGTATACCAATTTAGTTGAAATGGGGAAATAGCCGAAGATGACAACTAACGGCAACTTGGTACTTTAGGTGGGGATATACGTCCACAGTACACACGTCATGCACAGTTGTGACTTGCAAACAATAAACATGCATAACCGCAGTACATTGCTTATGCTAAACCCCATGTTTTCCAATTTTATTTTCACGTCAGAAGATTTGAAGTAACCGAACACTAGGTACTCACAGAAATTATTGAAACCTATAGATTGAAAAATTTTTTTTTTCCTTCTGGCAACAGCAACGACGACAATCTACCCTACTCCTATACCAATCTACGCTACTGGAAATAGGCAGATCAAAGGAACTTTGTATGGAGAGTTAAGAGAGGTGAATCATCAGATCAGACAAGTGTATTACTGCGCTCTCTAAAATTTTTAAGAAATGAAATACTCCGTCCCACTTTGATAGTCCTGTTTCTTTTTTCACACAGTTTAAGAAAAAGTAGTTAACTTTGTTGGAAAAGTAAATTTAGATTGCTATTTTTCTAAAATACCCTCACATTAAATAGAGTACAACTTTATGGGAACTTGAATTGATGGTAAAAAAAGAATCAACTCTCATTAAATGGGGTAGGTTTATAGCAACAACAACTTGTATTGAATAAGGGTATTTTAGGAAAATGAAAATACAACTATATTCTTCAATTAGAAAGTGGACTGCAATTTGGGACAGACAAAAAAGGAAAACATGACTATCAAAGTGGGACGGATGGAGTACCATGTTATGCACTAACGAGGGTGCATGTTTTCGTGGTAATCAAGATTAATCATCACCCAAAACTAGCAATAGGGACCCTCGTCCATCTCGAGAATTGCTTTTTGCAAATGTATGGATTGTTACATTAACTCAATTGTCGTGCATTCTAGAAGTGCTCAAATAATTGACCTGCATTATTAATACTAGTACAACTAGCTTTCAAGTTCCATTATATTGAAGTGTATACAATGTGGATTCATGATCTCATTGAAGGCAAAGAGAATATGGTAAGATAAACAAAATTACACCACTTTTGGCTTTTTTTTTTTTTTTAGGCCACCTAATTTGGGCCAAGTGCGAATTCGCTGTGTACCACCACTTTGGTTTGGTTGCTTGATGCAAGACACACTGAATTTATGGTCTTTTAAAATTGTCATAAATTTTTAGTACTTTTTACGAATGAAAATCCACAACCTCCATAAAGCTCTCCGCCATTGGACTAATCAGTAATATCAATCTTGGCCTTTTGATCTAGCAATGATCGAAACGACGTTTTAGCCGTCGAACCCTGTCTGGCTCCAGACCGCATCTCGGACCCTGCTCAGGTCTCGGCCCTTGAGAGTCCGACCAACGCCCTCAAAAACGGAATTTGCGGCCATTTTCCGGCTGCGTGCGTACTCACGCGCCAAGTACTCGTGTGGCGGAACCCACTGGGAGTCCTCCTGATCGTCTACCCCTTCATCAGAGTCATGCAAGGACTCGACTGAGTCAACTCGATAAATTTTTGACCAATCAGGTACGTTCACTGGGGCCGAGATGGCCATCTGTAGTCCATGTGGCGACGAAACGCTGCCATCCTGCCCCCCGCGAAGCTGGTGGACGATCCTGTGCGACGACGTCGTCTTGCCAGCATCTTCAAAGGCCAACGACAAGCCCCCCACATGACGCTGATTGTCCGCCAGCGAAGGATGCCGGTGGCTTCTATAACCACTCAAGCTTCCATTACTCTCAGAACCGGTGCTTGGACTCCACCCTCCGTTCATTAGCTGAGCGTCCCTGTTGACCATCCCATCAACCATTGACCAGACATCATCTTCCCCTAGCTCAGGAGCGTCGTTGGCCCCTTCCTGACCTTGATGATTGTAACCGTAGCTCCCTAACAACCTTTCACTCCGACTGGTCGTCAATCTTCTGCCCTTTGCCATTTATCTTACAGAAGATTAACGAAATCTTTATTCCTTTATTTCCCTGCAAACCCAATTCAAAGCTACAAAAAAAAAAAAACACAGTCTAGCTATCTTTGGCAGCCGGAGTCTTGATTTTCCGGCGAACCAAGTTAGGAAAAAAAGCGTTCTCGAGTGCGTTCAATGATCATGAAAACAAGTTAGCTTCATTAGTAAATTATTATAGTGAGAAGCATAAGCGAATAATTTAATACTAATAATACAAATACTAATGATAAATGCCTAGACGGAGCTGCGAAGGGAGAGGGGAGGTATATATAGAACTGGCAAGTGCATGAGA